TCATGCCCAAAAACTCCTCTTCAAGCCTTAGACTTCCCTCTCTTTTATTAAAGAATGCCTCCCTCAAAAAAGAATTCAAAATTCCCTCCAAAAAAATAAGAATTCAAAATTCCCTCCAAAATTTTATCCAAAAGTCAACTCTTTTGAATTTAAAAGACATGTCCATTGATCCAAGAGACATATCCCTTCATAAAACAACCTTCCAAAGTATGTAGATACATTGAATCTCTCTAATGGGTGTTTAGAATAAATGTACCTTTGAAAATTTGTGCAAAATTCATCATGAACAACCTTAACCCGCAAAAAGTTATCTCTGGTACATCATGCACTAGTTCTGGCATATCACATGCCAGTTTTCTGGATTTTGGTGCATCATGCACCACTCTGCAGCGGCTCAACCATTTTGCTTCGTTTGGCTGCGTTTCAGCTCCGTTTCCCCCCGTTTCAGTTGTGTTTCACTCCTAATAGATATTTCTAAAAAATAAGCATTCAAATAATCTTTATTTAAAATAAAATTTCATTTTAAAAAAATTGAGAAATGTAACGTAGATTAAGCATAGAAAGATTCAGAATTTTCTTTCTTGCTTGTTTTTACTCCAATATGCACCATTTTTGCTTCATTTTCTCCAAAAGTTCATTTCTCGTACCTGAAACAAAAAATATGCAAAATACATTCCTTTAAAGTTTAATATTATTGAAAAACATTAAAATTAAGCATAAAATATATATGAATATATAGGTAATTTATAGGGGTATCAACCTTGAATAATGATTTCTTACTCACAAATTCATAAATATACTATCTCTCGAACAACACTCTTTAAAGTCACTTAATCCCAACATCTGCAATATTCCCTCCTCAGTAGTCTAAAGAGAGACAGAAAATTATTGAAAACTTCCTCGCCGCGGAGCCCCCAATCATTTTGTGCAAAAAAGAATCTCACGGACCATTGTCTTATCGGTTCCTTTAAGCGAAAATCCAATGTCTTATGCTTAAACATCACATGATCATGCGTATCGCTAAAGAACTCGCACATCCATGCCAAAATTGATGGTGTTAATGTCAACCCATAGATCTTGAAGAAAACAATCAACCCCATAATGACTGTCACCACCCAACAAGACAACTGAGCAACACAAACCCCGAACACCTTCGTAATATCAATAAACTCAGGTGTTGACAGAAATCTTAAGCCAGCTCTCAAGGATACCACTTGAATAGCGATATACTAAGAAGGACGAGAATACGCTCAATCAGTTGAAGTTGGCAATTTCACCACCACATCGTTTCGGAAATAATACTTCTTTAGAAAAAAAAAGATCAAATCACTCTCCATCTTGACACAGCATCCTCTGGGTTCTAACTTTTCCTCTAGTTCTCAACAGAACAAAGTTCTTCAGTTGTGGCCATTTCTGCAATAGTACACAGCACCGCAACTCTGCTCTGCAACGCTTTACCGCAATGCTTCTCCACAATGCTTCGTCACAACTATGTGTCGCAACGCTTAACCGCAACTCTGTGTCACCACACTTCGCTGCAAATTTGCACCTGCAATGCTTTGTCGCAACTCTTCGTCGCAACACCTTGCCGCAACTCTGCATCACACCTCTTAACCGCAACTCTGTACCACCGCAACATTTTATCGCAACTCTTCACCGCTACTCGGAACTATTTCTTCTTCTGGGAAATCCCAGATTAGCTGAGGACTCCATCTCTACCCACTCCTTCAGGCCCCTATTTAAAGGCTCCAAAAAAGGTTTAACCATTAAATGATCATTATTATAGACTTCATAAAGAAATGAAAAATTAAATATTTGTGATTAAATAAACTTCAAAAAGAAGTGAAAAATTAAATATTTGTTATTAAATAGACTTAAGAAAGAAGTAAAAACTTAAATATTTGTTATTAAAAAAATAAAAATAAAAATGAAAAAAACTTTTCATCTTCCAAAAAAAAATAAAAAAATGCAACAGCACAAAAAAAGAAGAGAAAAAAAAAGAAAAAAATGCAAAAGCAAAAAAAAATCATTTTTCTCGAGCTCCCCAGCTTTGCATTTCAGACCCATCTTTTCAGTTTCAGGCTCACAGGCAACCTGTTTAGGGTAGGATTCGAACCCTACCACCCTCTCATGAAGTAAAAGAACTTACAAACTGAGTTGTCTTCAACTCAGGATCTTGATATTTCAGACCATAAAAATGTTCTTGCTTAAAAATCGGGAGGCAACTGATACACCACGAACAAATTTTTATTTTCCCACACAAATCTCGAGACATGACATGGATCCTGAGATGATATTTTGAGCGAGAAAAGTTTAAATCTTGATAAAATTTTATCTAGAGCTCCGATTTCAGCAAACTTATAGTCAAACTGATAGGCTCGATGAGCAGACCTAATGATATAAAAACTAGTCCAATCCGAGTCAAATCAAGCTCAGATCAACTTATGAAACTACCCTTGAAAGATTTCTGGACACATTGGGAAGGTCAAAAAGATGTCAACTCTGGCAAACCCATACTCGAATTGAGCGTCTCGCAATACAAATCCAACGAGCCCAAGCTCACTCAATTCCGATATTGTTAAGGCGCTCAAATGTCCATTAAACGTCGTTTGACTGAAGGAAACTCTGTGGACTGTCCGATTAAAATGGTTGATATTCCTGCTTTAATTGCACTCAAAACACTATAAATAGATCCCCACCCCTCACATAAGGGGAAGCTGAATTCTAGAGAGAGCCTAAGGCCTTGAGGAGAAGCTGCAACTTAGCATCACCGTCGATCATCGTTGACCACCGTTGACTCTGTCGTCTACCACCGCCGACTGCCGAAGACCACCGCTGACTCCCGAAGACCACCGCTGACCTCTAACGACCACCGCCGACCGTCTTCGACCTCTGCCAACCGTCATTGACCACCACTAACCACCACTGATCACCACTAACCTGACGCCGTCAGTCGACGTTGTAATCTAAAAATTATTGTTATCTTTTCTCGTCTGTGAGACAAGGGATTTTTGTAATCATCAATCAATAGTAGATTTCCGCAATGGTCCATATCCCATGGTTTTTCCCTTACGGGTTTTCACGTAAAAACTTCTGGAGTAATGAATGCTTGTTTTCTTTCATCTGCGTGTGTATTGAACTTTTGTATGTGAGTCTAAAGAGTGCAGAGATTTTTTTTTGGCTTTTAGCATGAAAGCTTCACATTATTGTTTAGTAGCATTTACATAAATATCACCCAATTCTTATGTATTAAGATTTCTAGCATCTAAACTTTAATTTTTATATCTAAATTTTAAATAAGTGAAATACACTTTCAATGCATGAAAAAAATACCATATAAATTAAAATTGAAGTTTCAGTGTCAGATATATAAATACATAGGAATTGAGTTGTATGCATATAAATCATCATAAATAACAAATATATATTATATATTTCTTATTTATATGTCAGTTTTTTTATATGTTTATCTAATAATTTAAAATTTGAAATTATTATTTTATTTGCATTTTATGAAAGTCAATATGGAGCTCTTGTGTTTTCCCCTATGCCTGCTCCTCCTGCTTGCCCTTATCATGCATTTGCTCGGCTTATGATGGTTTCTTCTCATCTTCTCTCTCTTCATTCCCCGACTTTTGTGCGAGGGTTTCCCAACATTTGCTTCTTCTTCCGATTTCCTCTTTCTCTAGTCATTTCTTGGTGGATTCACTCTGTTAGCCTTATTGGTTTGTACAGAGTTTCTTGGTTGATTTAGGGTTCGTTTGGGGCAGTTTATTTGGTGCGGTGACGTTTTGAAAACACACTTGATCTGTTTGTGTAAACTGCGTTTTGGCAGCTTATGCGTTTTGAAAACGCTGAAAGTAGCGTTTTCAAACCGCACCTATCTACCTAGATAAGTGCGGTGGCAGCTTTCTGGCAGCAGTATGACTTTTCCAAAAAAATAAAAATTTGTAATAGCCACTGGATCTAGCTTATCAGCAGATTATTTAATAAGCTACACAGCTGCCCCAAACTGACCCTAGTTAATGGTTTTCTTGTATTTTCTATTTTCTAGAGAATTTTATATTCAGAATTGGGGCGCTTTCAGCTGCTGATGCTTTCGATTTGATTCGTATAGTTGGAATATAATGTTGGATCTAAGTGAGAATTTGACAAGAAGATGAGGCCTAATGAGTGGCCGTGGGGGCCGCGGGGGAAGGGGGGGTTTCTGCTACTGTTTCAGTTTTTTTTCAACTATGAATGTTTTTGTTATTTGAATAAGAATCTGAGAAACACATACAATTTGAGATTTGATTCGTGAATAGCTATGTTTCAACTGTTGTGTATTCAATGAATACCAATTTGGTGGTGCGTGTGGTGGTGTCTGTGATGGTGAGTGGTGGTGTGGTGTGGTGTGGTGGTGTGTGGTGTGTGGTGTGTGGTGTGTGTAGTGTGTGGTGTGTGGTGTGTGTGGTGTGGTCACCTGCTGCATGTGGTGTGGTGTTGTGGAGTCGTGGTGTTGTGGTTTGGCTGTTAATGTGTCGTGTGGTGGTATGGTGTGTGAATGTGCTGTTGTGATAGGGTGTGTGGACGGGTGAACGTGTGGTTTGTGGATGTACTATTGTGGTGGGGTGGGGTGGTGCGTGGTTGTGTGGTGTGTGGATCTGCTATTGTGATGTGACTTTCTTAATATATAAAATATATTGTTGTCACAGTTTTGTTGCAAACAACATCACTATATAGGGGTAGAATGATCATTTGTCCAGAAACAACTGCAATACCGCTATTTTCAAATTGCAAAAAACAAACAGCTAGAGAGAATATCTGCAATTGCTTTTACGCTGTAGCTTTCTATGATAGTTCTTGTGCAACAACTTATTATTAAGCTGTAGCTACCCCAAATAGACTCTTAATTGAACATCCTAACCACCTTTGCGAAACAACTTATTTTTTAAATTTTGAAATTAATTTATTTATATAATAAAATTTTATGAGAGTGACTAAGGTCTTGTTTGGCGCAGCTGTGGGAGAGCGGCGCGACAAGCTGCCACTGTCTTCTTCTGTTTGGCACTGTGGCGGGGGAGGTTCGAGTGAGCCGCGAGGTCGGATTTCAACAAAAAGCGGGCCGGTGGTTATACCCTGCGGCCGGCATTTTGCATATTGTTTTACCCTGCTGCCCTGATCCGGTCTGCTATCTCCTCTTCCCCCTCTTCTCTAGTGAGGAAGTCAAGAGACGCTTGCTCGAGAAGAAGGCATTGACGGGACCAGTGGCGTGTGAGGGAGAAGACGAGTTCGTGAGAATTTACAAGGACAAAGAATTTACCCTCGCCGAACTTCTAGATCCTTTGTTTACGGTTTTGGGGGTTACTCTGGTGAACTCTTCATTATGCTGCTTGGGAGCTCTTTTACAGTTCGTTATTCCTTAGTGTCTCTCCCAATTAAATTTTATTCGTTTTGTTCTTTAAAAGAGCACGTTTTTATAGTTTTTACATCAGGACATGGTCTTAGGTGATTTCTACAATGGGTTTGGGGAGGTGCTGCTACTTGGGACAGTTTGGCGCACTGTAACTTGAAAGAGTCTCTTCCTTTCGACAGTTTTTGTAAGTTCCATGCTTATCTTACAAAAACGAATAAAATTTGCACATACATACCAAACAATTCTTATCTATTTAACACCTAAAGTTTGATTTTTACATTTATAGCACCACCTTGGGAAGAAAATTCTATGCAAGAAAAAATTTATTTCACTTTAAAAAAGATAGTGACTGTGGTATTTTTGCAGCGATGCTTATGGTTTGAGTTGGATGCATGTAAATTTTAATGTTTAGGTGCCGAATATGTAAATACATAAGAATTATGTGGTATGTATGTAAATGCAACATAGAAACACAGTGCTGCAAATGCATTGGATGGATGCTTTCTTCAAGGGAACAATCCTCATAATATGTGTGAAGAAACCATGATTGTATGATATAAACAAAATAATTTAGAACTCTGTCAAGTTTTTTTGGCGCTCATTATTTTACTACTGTAACTTACAATTTGTGTAAATGCATAAAATGTTTTTTTCGCCAAAAGAAATTGCCCTTTTTCATTTGTGAAAAGCTGAGATAAATTATAGGCAAAATGCTAGTAGAAATGTTATGAAGACATTTAATTGATTGTCTTGTTTCTTTGTGCATGCAACAATAAACTTGTTGCTGGCAAAACTGGGAGGCAACTACTTCTTGTTTGGTTACTCCCTGCCTTCAAAAAGCGAAACATTAAACTAGCAAGCAAAAAAGTTAACTGAATGTTCCTATGCTGTTTTATAATATTCTCTTTCATGCGCACACATATAAATACATTTACACACATTTTAGCATACAATTAAAGACAACACTTCAACTAATATTAAAGTCAACAATTGTATATCCATGAATTAGTGTTGGATTTGGGCATGTGTGTGCTTCAAATTTAACTATAATAATAACCCAATTAGTTAATATCCTTGGTTATTTTTTAAGATCAAAATGTTATAGTAAGTGTAACTTTGGTTTGTTTGGCATCAGAGAACATAAATTGAAGAAAGTTTGATGTTGATCGTTAACAACGAGATTCTTTGATCTCTTGATTTAAGTTTGTCATATCTTTCTGTTTTGGATAGAGTTTTCTTATGAGTATATCAAATCCTTATAGATAATATAATTTTTTTTTTAATTTGTAATTTTATTAATTTAATTATTTTGTTAGCACTTTTGGGACTCACTGTTAAGTAAGGGTATATGAAGTTTCTGTTCTGTTTAGAAATGAATTTTTGATTTAGAAGTTTTAAAAATTTAGCTGTTACAGACTTCTTTTAAACAATTTTACCAAACAGGAGTAGTATGATTATTTTTCCAAAAACAGCCGTCTCACAGATATTTTTACACTGTGACACCAAATAGACAGTCAGCTTCCCCGCAGCAGCTTCCTCGGACAGCGCAGCTACAGCTGCGCCAAATAGAACCTAATTCCCCTGTGACACGACATCTCTACCACCACTCCAAAAAGCCCTTGATTGAATTTTCTTTAACATTGGGGCAACGCCACTGCTAGACTTAATTAAAATCTTCTTTAGCATTTGGGGCAACACCGCAACTGGACTTGACAGATATTCAGTTGGCAGTACACAGTTTGACTCTTCCAATAGTGCTTGCTTCAAGCACTCAGCCAATAGATGCGCCCAATGCCGCAAATCCGATTAGCGTTATAGCAACCATATTATCGTGTAGTTCATATTCTGGTACTCATGTTGGCTCGAGCGTCCCGCGTAGCCGCGTAGGCCTCTCCTCCCATCCCTTTCGAATTTCAGGACGGTTTTTTGAGGATCATTTTGGAAAATTATTTGCCGTGCCGCCCACTCTTTTGATTTCAATGCCATGGCTCAAAACTCCCCATCACCGTCTTCTCTCCATTTTCCGAGTCCAACGCTTGCAACATTGCTGCTCATCAAACCATGAGCATCATCTCCTATCCCTCCTACACCGCTATCCACATCTTCGTCATTCCCTCCAACTCCACTCTCACCTCGTCACCTCCGGAATTCACCGCCATCGAATCAGCCGCAGTGGCATTCTTCTCTGGAACACCCTCATCCACCGCTACTCTTTCGGCTCTTCCCCGCTTAAAGCTCTCAAAATTTTTCAGCACATGCTTGCCTTCTGCGCTGACGACCTCCCCACCGACTCCTTCACTTTTTCTTTCCTCATCAAGGCCTGTGCTGCAGCCTCCTTAGTTTCTCCTTCTGGCTTCCAGCTTCACTCTCTCGTTGCCAAGAACGGCTTCACATTTCATGTCTATGTTCACACTGCTCTGCTCAATATGTACTCATGTTGGGGATTGACTGTGAATGCTCAAAAAGTGTTCGACGAGATGCCTGAGAAAAATTTGGTTTCTTGGAATGCGATGATCACTGGTTTAAGCAAATGGGGGAAGATGGAAATGGCAAAAGCACTTTTTGAACAAATGCCTGACCGTAATGTGATTTCCTGGACTGGATTGATCGATGGATATACGCGGGTTAAGAAACCAGAGGAAGCTGTAAGTTTCTTTCGGGTAATGGGGGCCCAAGGCATAAGCCCTTCCGAGATCACTGTTTTAGCCATCATCCCTGCCATAGCAAACCTTGGAGCGCTGGATATTGGAAAAACGCTTCATGGCTACTGTGTGAAGGTAGGAATTGATTTGCTTGACATCCGAGTGCAGAATTCATTAATTGATATGTATGCAAAGTGCGGCTCAATTGAGAATTCAGTTCAGGTTTTTGAGGAGATGGGTGAAAGAAGCAATTTGGTTTCATGGACTTCCATCATATCTGGCTTTGCAATGCACGGCATGGCAGAGAAAGCAGTTCGATTTTTTGAGAAGATGGTGAGGGAGAAGATAAGGCCGAACCGGGTTACCTTTCTGAGCTTGTTGAATGCTTGTAGTCATGGAGGGTTAATTGAGGAGGGAGTGAGGCTCTTCACGCTCATGGTGAATGAACATGGTGTTGAGCCAGAGTTGAAGCACTATAGTTGTTTGATTGACATGCTAGGGAGGTCTGGGAAGGTGCAGGAGGCAGAGGAGATTATCGCTGGGCTGCAGGTGGAGGTGAATTCCATCGTGTGGAGGACATTGTTGGGTTGCTGTAGCAAACATGGTGAGGTGGAGATGGCGGAGAGGGTGGTGAGGAGAATAATGGCATTGGAGATAGGGTGTGGAGGGGATTATGTTGTTTTTTCTAATATGCTAACAGAGGCTGGTAGGTTTATGGATGCTGAGACTATAAGAAGGTTGTTGGATGATAGAAATGCTGTGAAGATTCCTGGCTATAGTCTGATTTGACACAAACCCCGCTATGATATTTACAGCTCAGGGCTGAGTGCTTGGGTTGTCTAGACATGTGGCACACTTAGATACAACTATATCTGGATTATGGATTTTAAAAGAAAAGAATCAGCTCTAAGTACCATGGATGGGAGTTGTGCAAATAAACTGGTTTAAAAAAGATTTAACACTACAGCTGAGATCTATCAAGTGAATGGAGAACTAGATTCACGTTGCCGACTCAAAATAGCTATATAAGATTAGTAATAAAGATGATGAAGATGTTCTTTTAGAAGGATAGAGTAGTGAAGATAAAGCGATCTTACATTGTTTTAGATTGTACCAATGGGTTCAATTGCTATTTGGGATGCTGAAAATGTTCTTTGATGACAAAGGCAAAAGTGTGTTTAATCATAGTTAAACTCTCAAGACTCAAGAGCGAAAGCTGGATCGCTGTAGCTATTGAGATCAATAAAAAATGCTACATTAGTTAAGGCTTGGAAAAGATAAATAGAGATTGTTTGCAAACACGTCTTTAGCTATGTATATGTTCATGAAGGGTTACGATGCTAGAAAAATTATAGATTAATTTTTCTTATGATATTCTGGTTTAATATTATTATTCTTTTTCACGTGATTCTAGTTTGTGATGGGATGCCAATTTTTTTGTAGCTTCAACAAAAAGCATTTATGTCACAACTTCTGTCACAACTTACAATTCACTTTCATAGCTATGAACATTTATGTCACAACATACAATTCACTTTCATAGCATTTGTTAGGCATGACTCATATACCATATAAGGGACAGATGCTGGAACGAAGCGGAGCGAAGCGGAAGAATTTGTCCAAACAGGGGAGTTTCGTTATGTGGGTTGGGGGTGTGGGGGTAATTTTATAATTACATATTGTACTTATATTGTACTTCAGGGTCTAATCCAGGATTATATATATGCTTGTTTGTAACCCTAGGGAGTATCTTGTATTCTATAACATTTTTTTTCTCGAGTTGAAAGAAAGCCGCCTCTCTGCTCCCAAGGATGTAGGCATCTTTGTTGAACCTCATTAAATCTCTATGTGTTTTTCTGGATTTGTGTCGATTCTTGTTTTTCTTCACCATTATTTCTCAATAAGTGTTATCAGAGCGGGGTTCTAGGACATGGAAGAAAATTTCGACATAAGAAGAAGATTTGGCGGCTACGGTTTCAGACAGATCGGTGCAGGAAGGACTCGAGGCTTTGCGTTCGACCAGGGCTTCGACGCAGGAAGGTGAATCGTGACTTTCAGTGACGAAGAGGGCAGTGGTTCGACCAGAGAGATTCAACGACGAAGGTGGTAGAGAGTTCGCAGGTTCACGGGCTTTGGTGACTTGGATGCCGACAGTTTGAATTGCGATAGAGGCGAATCGCTGCAAGCTTCTTCCGCCTGACAGGAGAGAGTTGTTTGCGCGAGGGTGTTGATATCATGACAGCAGAAGGTCGAAGCGAGTTAGCCACGTGGTTCGCAAGACAATTAGAGGTTCTGTGACAGGCTGAATATTGCAGGACTGTTCTGTGACCAGGTCTGTGAGCAGAAAAGCTTCGCGTGACAAAGGTATTCAAAGATTCGCGAAGCAAAGGGTTCTTCCAGCAGGCTTCGGCGCAGCTTCTTCAGCGACACAGAGGGATTCATGGCATTGCGACCAGGCGAATTCATCCAAGTTCGCGAGGGCTTCGAGGCTTAAGTGTTTTGCAGGAAGGATTTCCATGTTTTGCAAAGGATTACTGAAGCAGAGAAATTTGCAAAAAGATTCGTTGCAAAATTAATTTCATAATGACAATCTCTGGTGCAAAATTTGAGGTGCTCAAGTTTGATGGAACCAGAAACTTCAGATTGTCGCAAACGAAGGTGAAATATTTGTTGGCACAATAGGGAATCTTGAAGGCTATGCGGGCAAAAAAACCAGATGCCATGGAGGATGAAGATTATGAAGAATTGCAAGAACGAACGACAACAATCATATACTTATATCTGACAGATGAGTTTATATATCACGTGATGAATCTAAAATCTCCAGGGCAGGTATGGAAGAAATTGGAAACTCAGATTATGTCCAAATCTCTAACAAATAAATTGTATCTAAAGGAAAAGCAGCATAGACTGAAGATGTAAGAAAACTCTGACCTGGCACAACACGTGAATGACTTCAATCAAATAATCACAGATTTTTCATGGCTTGATGTGAGTATTGAGGATGAAGATCGAGCAATGATTTGTTATGTTCATTGTATTCTTCCTATGAACACCTGGTGACTACTCTTACATATAGGAAAGAAACTATCAAAGTTGATGAGATCACTGCAACATTATTGGCCTATAACCAACGGAAGCAGAATGCAGGAGAAAGCTCTCATGGGGATAGTTTATATGTGAAGTGTAATCAGGATCATGGGAGGAAGAAAGAGAAAGAGGGTTCTCGAATGCAAAAATTCAAATCAAAGTTCAAAAGCAAAAAGACAATTCATTGTTACAAGTGTAAGGAGCTGGGTCATGTGAAGAGGGATTGTCCAAAGCTCAAGAAGCAAACTAGGAAGAAAGGTGATGCATCATCCAATTCTGTAAATGTGGTGCAAAGTGACAATTTAGATTGTAGTGGCGGTGATATACTCTCAGTTTCATCAACTCAGTTCATGATGCATTGATTCTTGATTTAGGATGCTCTTATCACAGAACACTTAACAAGGAGTGGTTCACTTCATGCAGGTTAACTAATTCTGGCTCAGTCTATTTAGGTGATGATAGATATTGCAATATCGTTGGTATTGGTGAAGTCAGAATTCAGATGTATAATGACACTGTTAGAACATTATGTGATGTCAGACATATTTCTGATCTGAAGAAGAATTTGATTCCCATAGGTACTTTACATAGAAATAGTTTTATTCTTAAGACATATGATGATAGGGAAACCATTAGAATTGTTAAGAGTGCACTGACTGTGATGAAAGAAAAGTTAATTGCATGTAATATCTACAAACTGTTAGGGATTACAGTTGTAGGTGGGGTTCATTTTGTGGAGACAAACTGTTAGGGAATACATTTGTAGGTGGAGTTCATTTTGTGGATTCATATGATGATAATACAAAGCTATGTCATATGCATTTGAGTCATCTTAGTAAATGTGGGATGACAGAATTGCATAGAAAATAATCTGTTGTATGGTGTTAAAAGGTGTAAGCTCAAACTTTGTAAGTTTTGTGTTTTTAAGAAATAAACTAGAGTCAGTTTTATGACTGGAAAACACAAAACTGAATGGATTCTTAATTATGTGCATTCTGATGTATGGGGCCCTACCATAGAATCATCATTGGGAGGATCTCAGTATTTTGTTAAATTTATTGATGATTTCTTCAGGAAAGTTTGAGTGTATTTCTTGAAGCAAAAATCTAAAATATTCTCTAAGTTCAAGCTGTGGAAAGCTAAGGTGGAGAACCAAACTGGTAGAAATATCAAGTAATTATGGTCTGATAATGACACGGGGTGACCAAAAGAAAATATGTTGAGATTTTCATACCTCTTTTATATTGTTTTTAATAATATTGCACTTTAAAGAAATGTATTTTTGATGTTTTGTTGCAGAACTGATAAATTAGGGTCAATAGAGCAAAAAGATGCAAAAATGAATGCAAAAAGGAGCAAATTTGGAGCAAAAAGGACCAAAATGTGGAGAATTGCACTAGGGCGCCGACGGCGCCATCGAGGCCGCCGACGACGAGTTTTTCCCGTGGCTACAGGACAAATTCTCTAGAAGCTCGCCGAATACCCCATCGAGGTCGCTGGCGGCAGGATCGACGGTTATGTGACATGTACAATGGATAAGGCTGGGTTTTGGAGGGGGGCGGAAGCGACTCTTGGGAAAAACCCT